TGCAAATCGTACACTATGATTAATTCAATTTCTTTATGTTTGTATAGGACAATCAATGGAACAATTAAAAATTGTCTTTATAAATCGATCAGTATCATTGACATTGTGTTGTGTTATTAGTTCAAAAATCAAAGTTTCGTCTAATATGATATCCAGGATGATCGGATTTCATCTCTATAGATCGTCCAGTATAATTTATATAGTACATTTTATTTACAATATTTATTAAACCTTGATTTGATTAACCAATAACGAAGATTAATTCAAGTAAGTTTTCAAATATCATACTGCACGAATGGGATCATATAACATGATTAGTTCAAAAATTAAAATTTAAAAACTTAATTTTGATTGGCGGTTTGGATTTATGCTTTGAGCAAATCGTACAGTATGATCTTGATCATACAATAGATTGGTTCAAAGAAAATTAATTAAAATATTAGTTATTTTATGTCATTTCAAAAACAAATGATTGTATAGTATGATTTGAATCATACAGTACAATTATTTAAAAAATGTAAAAATTATTTTCTTACTCCCTTGTGTGTGTGCATGGTCACAAAATTTAGCATCTACCTTAAACAAGACTTTGACTCAAGAAATATAAGAAAAAAATTAAGTAAATGAAAAATACAAACTCTTAAGAAATATAAACATATTCTACCCAGTCTTGAGTAGATCACTTTGCAAGGTATGCGATGGACCTGAAATGTTAGTGCATGAAAATAAAAAATCCAATAATAAAAATAGGAGAAAACATGATAGATAAATTAATAATATTTTTTATCATCAAAATCACAAGACGAGTCCAGAATTGCAACATAAGATTCTCTGACAACCATCACCCAACTATACTCCTTTACCACTATCTCCTAACTTTATTGCCCAATCATGATCATTTGACTGCTATTATCTGATTATAGTCATTTAACCATTATTGTCTAATTATGATCGTTAGACCACTATCACATGACTACAGTCCTTCAACCACTATGACATGACTACAATCCTTCAACTACTATCACATAACTATAGTACATCAATCATAGTAGCTCGACTATTATCTACTAACCACCATTGCTCAATTAAGGCCCTCCAAACTTTTTCAACTGACTAAGGTCATCTAAACTCTATCGCTTGACTATGATTCTTTAACCATCGTCATTCAAGTACTGTTCTCCATACATCATCACCCAACTACAATTCAACGACCACTAACACCTGACTATAGTTCATGCACCGACCACCATCTTTCAACTACATTCCTCTAATCTCCATTACTTGACCATGGTCCGCCGACTACTACCGCTCGACTACGATCCTCTGACCATTATCACTTGACTATATTCCCATGTATATCGTCAACTAGCTATATTGATGGCCACTAATTTCAAAACTTATCAATGCTAAGAATGTCAGCAAGCATCATCAGCTATAAGATCAATGCATGCTATCGATATCAACTTTTACTCCCAACATTACCATTAGGATTTATGTTAGACTCTATGGTCTCTAGTCTCCCCTCTTAAAGGATTATAACCAAACATATCATAAATAATCTCTTGAAGATAACTCTTATACAACAAGATAAACTTCCAACTTCCATTATTATGTATAGCTTATGTGAATTATATTGTATCAACACCTTTCCAACCACAGGAAAGGATATCATTTATAACAAATAACAAACATTAGTGGAAGCATTATAGCTGGGCTAGGTCCCATATTTTCCATTTTCGAGCTTTCAATGTAAAAATTTTAATGTCACTTATAACCTACTCTTATTTGTGTGTGCTAGATCTTTATACAAAGCTAATATGTTAAAATCTCTATCATGCTAGTACAATGAAAGCTCTGTGTCCAACAGTTTGGCGTCATCTTTAAGAAATAATTTTAGAATGGGGGAACACATGCTATAACCATGAAAGGTCATTCACATCAATGTCCAATAAATGATTATAATAAGTCAGTTATTTTGTCATCTACAATTAAGTTAGTTTTAAAAAGAAGTAAAACATGGGGAAACTTCAATTATAACATCAAATAGATAACACCCTATACATGTTGTAATTAAAAAATACCTCCATTTTATTATTTATTATTGTATCAATTTCACGAAAAGTAGATCAAAATTGGTGGGCAAGCTCGAAAAGATATTCATGGGTTTGTTTATAGATAAGCAAGTCATTTCATCTAATATTTTATATCTATCCAAGGCAACCTTGATAACAACCATCTTTATATAAGCTTCCAATATATGAGACAATTTTTTTAAAAAAATTTCTCAAGTGGATTTTAAACTCTACACATAATCCTCAACTAGACCTTTACTCCCTGGACAAGGCCATAGCTATGATCTTGAAAGGAAAATAATAGTCTAAAGACAGACCAATTTTTACCTTCGATTTGAGATACATATGGCTTTCACCCCCTCCCAATCAATGTACAATCAATCCTATTGGGATTCAATTTGACCACTTCTATATTTGTTAAGGTCATCAAACAACACTTAATAAATAACCTTGAACATGTAAAACATCTTTGGTAGATTCCTCTCGATCTCTTTCACACATATTAACATCATTGATCAACACTCTAACGAATAACCTTAAATAGGTCAATCATCTTTGATGGATTTTTCTCAACCTCTTTGCATAGGATAACACCATCATATAATACCAAACAATCTTAGATATGTCAAATATCCTTGGTGCATTTCTCTCAATCTATTTCACGCAAGTTAACATCATCGAACAACACTCTAACAAACAATCTTGAATATGTCAAGCATCCACGATAAATTTCTCTCAACATCTTTCATAAATGTTAATGTCATTGAGCAACACTTTGTCAAAAATCATTAAAGAATTTCTCACAACCTCATTCACACAGGTTGACTTAATCAAGCAACACTCTAACAAATAATCTTATGTAAGTCAAATATCCTTGGTGGGTTTATCTCAATTTCATCCACATAAGTTAACATCATTAATCAATATTCCGACAAACAATCTTTATTTTTTATTTTTTTTTTATTTTTTTATTCTTATAAATAACCTTGACCTTTCTTTATTAGATTTAAACGAGAATTTGACTTTTAATAGGACACAATGGAGAAAAAGGATTCATGTAGCCGACCCCACGTAGTGGGATAAAGGCTTGATGTTGTTGTTGTTGTTGTTGTTATAAATAATCTTGAATAAGTCAAACATCCTTGATAGGTTTTTCTCATTATTTAATGCCACAACTCAAGGTTTGGGAAGATAATATTTATAAAAGAATTATTCATGAGCCTCCTTGGCACAAAAAAGGAGCTTGGATAAAATTATATAATCAATGAAGAATTACACTATCATGGATGAACATCAATCATGCTCATATATGAAAGAAAAGAGATGCAAGCAAACAAAAAGGTTAAGTCCCCTTCGTAGGATGATTTCTCAAAATATTTAATCATCATCATGTAAAAGATTGAGATTATATCAGTTCTCATCATAACTTCCAACCACTTGATATGAAACATCAGCTAAGCTTGTATATTATATGAAGAGATATATTATTTACGGGTTATACAAATAAGAATTTTTATTTCAAGAATGTATACAGAAATGCTGATTATGGATGATATCAATGCACGCTTTATCAATATTAAATGAGATTTATGAAGTCCTATATAGCCATCAAACTCCCACATTAATTTCTAACTAATAGTCTATTCCTCTTTGATGTTTATAACCAGGATGTAGAATTGACCTCGATTGTAGCTTACAACAACAACAACATCATCATTATCAAGCCTTTGTCCCACTACATGGGGTTGGCTACATAAATCCTTTTTCACCATTGTCCTGTTAAAAGTCAAATTCTCATTTAAATCTATCAAAGAAAAATCATTTCTAATATTTTATAACCAAGTTTTTTTAGATCTACCTCTACCTTTCTTAAAATAAGTCAAATCTAATACCTCACCTTTCGTAATCGGATCATCAGAAGGCCTCCATTTAATGTGACCAAACCATCTAAGTGGACTCTCTCTAATCTTATCTTCCACTAGAGCTACTCCAACCTTTTCACGTATATGCTCATTTCGTAACCTATCTCTAAGGGTAAAACCACTCATCCACCTAAGCATCCTCATCTCTGCAACACTTAGTATTATGCTTCTTTTTTAATGGCCAACATTTGGCACCATAAAGCATTGCATGTCTCACCACCTTCTTATATAAAATTTCCTTAAGTTTGAGGGGGATTTTTCTATCACACAACAAGCCCGACGCATTCCTCCACTTCAACCAACCAACTTGAATTCTGCTTGGATAAATTTGGGTTTATCTCAACTAATTCCAAGCTTGGATAAATTTGGGCTAATTTTGAAGATCTATTTAGGAAATGAGTTTTAAATGAAGTAAATAGCTAACAAGGACAATGAAATATTAACCAATGATGTAAACCTATGATATATATATATATATATAGTAGATGGTTAAGTTTTATGGAGTTTAAGTATGTGTGGAGGACTAGGGAACAATACTAAGTTTTAATCTTACCTAGTTGGCCAAGAGCTATAGTAGAGGTTTTTGAGTGGTCGTGAGGCTTGTGTTAGGTGATGATTGATCTTAGAGGAGGCTTAGGATGTAAAAAAATATGTTAGAAGGATTTGGAATAGATATTTAAGAGGAGACCAACTAAACTTAAACACAAATGATAACTGCCTTATATTACCAAAAAAAAATAAAGATACTCTTAAAGCCATAAAGTCATAAGCAGAAGAGAAGAGCTAGTATTCACTCAAATGATTTCATTCAGCACTGAAAATTTCATTGCATTTCAACTAGTATTTATAGGCAACTAACTACCCTCATTTCAAACAAAAAAGTAGAAAAAATTTATGGGGAAAAGCAGGGTGGGCCAATTAAAAGAGAAGGAGAATGTCAATACAAATTTCTTTTCATTTTTTATGCTCTTCATTAAGGTGACCTACTATACATATTTACAATGACTTAAAAAATATAAAAAATAAGAACATGACATTAAATTTAAATAATGGGCCTTAACATAGGATTTTGAAATAGGCTCTTGTTCATAAACTTTTACCTTGGGCCTTTGCTCTTTCTTTTGTAATAAGTCTAATGAGCTAAATTAGTATTGACACTTCATGTAATACCCAATCTCAAATAATTGAAATAAGATTAATTATAATGGTAATGATAATAAAGAAAAGAACCTCCATCTTTTGAAAATATCAAGAAGCAGATGCAATCATCGGCAATTCCTCTTCAATGAAATATTTTACATCTTCTCCCTTTGAATGACCATAAGTTGCTACTCCAGTATCTGCACAATATCCTTCTACCTTCATGTGTTTAGTTAGCCATCTCAACCCAACATATATATCCTTAATATCTGGATGAAGAAGTTCCCCTACAACAAAAACATGAACCCTACTCTTGATTTCTATCCAACTACATCCTGGTTCCTTGTTCACCCCTCGAAGCTTCATCAATCTTCGAACACGCTCGACATCATCCCAACGGTTCCATGAAGCATATATATTCGACAACAAAATGTAAGCAGAAGAATCCTTTGAGCCCAACTCCATCAACCTCTCCCCTGCATAGGCTCCATAAAGAAAATTCTTCTTATTTCGACAAGATCCCAACACAATGCGCCACAGACATGTCCCATGATCTATAGGAACTGATTCAATAAAGTCTGTAGCTTCCTCAAACTTCCCTGCACGGGTAAGCATGTCTACCATGCAAGAATAATGGTCAATTTTAGGTAACAAACCATACTCATTCTGCATTGATCTAAAATAACTCCAACCTTTCTCCACTAAGCCAATGTGGCTACAAGCACAGAGGGCATTAATGAAAGTGACATGGTCTGGTTTTATGCCTTCCGACTGCATCTCTTCAAAGAGGTTGAGGGCCTCAATTCCTCGTCCGTTCTGAGAATAACCTGATATGATTGAATTCCAGGCAATAACGTCTCTTTCAGGCATCCTTCTAAAGATGAGATTACAGTCTTCAAGGTTCCCACACTTGGCGTACATTGTAGAGAGAGCACTGCCAATTGGTATACCAATACCAAAACCATGTTTAAGAGTACGAGCATGGATTTGTTTTCCCTGCTCAAAAGCCACGAGGCTTGAACATGCTCGAAGAGCACTCGCCAAGGTAAGATTGTTAGGTAAAATTCCTCCGCTTTCCATTCTGCTGTACATTGTAAGAGCTTCTTCATGCTCTCCATTCTGCACATATGCTGATATCATCGTTGTCCACAGAACAATATCAACCTCTTGCAACATATCAAACGCTCTTCTTGCATCTTTAATGCATAAGCATTTTGCATACATATCAACCAAAGCACTTTTAACATAAATTTGAGATTCAAAACCCAGTTTTAGCACATAACAATGAGCTTCAATTCCCTCAACTAAAGATGAGTGATCGCTGCAAGCATTGAGGACACCAACAAACGTGAACTCACTGGGTCTTACTCCCTCAGAATGCATACATCCAAACAACTCTAAAGCCTTCCAAGACTCTCCATTCTGTGCATAACCGGTGATCATTGCAGACCAGGTGATCGGGCTCTTATTTCCTGATGACATAAATATCACCAATGCTTCATCCAAGCACTGACACTTCGTGTACAATGTGATAAGAGAATTGTTGACAGAGACAAAAGACAGCAATCCGTTTTTAATTGTCAGACCATGAATCTGTCTTCCCATCTCGAGGAATTCTGGTTGGACTGAAGCACTCAAGATACTGGTAACAACAAACTCATTCACATTGCAGTCATCCTCCACCAGCAACAGCCTAAAAAGCTTAAAAGCCTCGATGCCATTCCTATCAACAGCATAACCAGAAATCATGGCCGCCCAAGAAACGGAATTCCTGTGAGGCATTCTGTCGAACACCTTCCTGGCATCAGAAAGAAGTTCTAGTTTACAGTACATGTTAAGCAGAGAACTGCCAACGAAGACGTCAGTGGAATTAGCCGTCTTGATGGCAATGCAGTGTGCCTCCATACCGTATCCGGCCATGTCTAGAGAGTGCGAAGCGGCGGTGAATAATCCCGCAAAGGTGAAAGCGTTGGGATGTAAGAGGCCGCCGCAGCCATCCCCGAAGGTCCGCATCCGCCGGAAGAGATTAAAGACCGCAGAAGAGCCCGCCTGACCCTGCTGGGAGTAGCTGTTGATAAGGCAGTTCCAGGAGACGACGTCCCAGCCCCCAGCTCTCATGTCATCGAAGGCGGCCGTGGCCTCGGCGAGACGGCCGCATCTGGCGTACATGTTGACGACGTTATTTCCAACGAAGCTATCTTCCAAAGAACCTATTTTTATAGATAAGGCGTGGACGGAGCGCCCAGCTTCGATTATTCGCTGATCCGTGCAGCGGAGGAGAAGGCCGAATAGTGATTGAAGAGTGGAAGGCCGCATCAAACTGGCCTGGAAAGAGTGAAAGGAGAGAGAAAGAGTTCGCGCGAAGAGAGACAGAACACTGCATCGTTATTAGTCGATTCCTCCGCCGCCGTCACCCGCGCAGGGGGTGAACGAGGCGGCGATGGCTTTTTAATATGTTTAATTGTTATAATATCTGTTTATTTCTTAGGCGCGCGGATTCAGGACTCGCAATAACGAATGCATCAGTTAATCCAACGGCTTGGATCTAGTTCGTAGCTCTGCTTCCGAGGGTGATTATGGTCCGTTAGAGTTAGGTATTTAACTTGAACTACTATTAAGCTGATATTTGATTGGCTTAAAAAAGATGTAATGTAAAAAAATATTTTTGAGTTATTTGAATGAATGTAACTTAAATGTAACTAAATTATTATGTTTTGTTTAATTTAAAATAATGAATGTAGTGTAAAATTTAAAAAAGGTAGCGGCAGGCAGGTCATTTATCCATGTTTCCCCATTTGGGTCCCTTACCAACAAAATATTCTGCTCTTTATATCGTCGATCTTTTTGCACATAAGCCTAAGCCCTAAATGATAGTGTTCGACAGGGATAGTATCTTTCTAAGTAACTTTTGGTGACATCTTTTCACTTTAAGCAGTACTACATTACATTTTAGTACTTCATATCACCCACAAACAGATGGTTCAATAGAGGCTCTAAATCGCTTCTTAGAACAATATATTCGTGCATGTACATCCTCTACATCTAGGTTATGATCCTCATTTATTTATTGAGTGGAATTGTATTATAACACATCCTACCATACTGTTATTAAAATGTTAGCATTTCAGACTCTATATGGCAGACTCCCACCTTCCATCCCTTCCTATATTTGTGGTACTTTTGATCTTCCTGCGATCAATACACACTTAACAGATTGGGATACCCTTCTCCAAACACTCCGACAAAACATACAACAAGCCCAAAATTGAATGAAAATCATGCAAATCATAATTGAAGAGATTTGCACGGTTCAATAGGTGATTTAGTTATAGTCAAATTACAATCATTTAGACAAAACTTTATCATTAATAATGCCCATTCTCAATTAACTAAGTGATATTTTGGCCTTTTATAATTCAAGAGGTGATTAGCCCATTAGCCTACCACCTACTCTTTCCTTTCGATAATAGAATTCATTTGATTTTTCATATATCTCTTCTAAAACCATTTAATGGTTCCCCTCTACTAACCACTTCACAACTACCAACTTTCAGTTATAGTAACTTATTATACTTGTAAATTTGGTGGACCATTCTACCCTTTATGACCTGACCAGATTCAAGATAATCCATTAATTTTTTTTTTTTGTATTTGAACATTTCTGCATGTGTTTGAAAATGCTCTGAGTGCATGTGGAGTCTGCATGTGATTTGAAATGGGTCTCAGAGGTCTGTTTGCATATTTGGAGGAGAAAATTTTTTTTTTTTCGGGCGCTGCAGCGCTAGGATTGGAAGCGCTCAAGTGCCAGTGCTCTAAAATTTTTTTGTAAAATAATTCAATGCAGCGACACTAAAGATGGCGCTGCAAAGCTATGGGCTCTTTGGGGAGAGTCATGTCAGGCGCTGCGGCGCTAGGCCGAATTTTAATATTTAAAATATTCAAATCTATTATTTATGCCATTTCATTCTCCTAAGGGCTTTCGACTAGTGAGAGGGATGAATTTCTAGAGAGAAAAAATCCATTTGAGCCACTTCATGTCTTTTCACATGACGACCAAGTTCTAAAAGTTTTTCTGCTCAAGATATGTCACATTTTATCTATCTCAATTTTTAATAATTTGACAATTTTAAAATTTTTCTGATTAAAAATATAAATTTATGGTATTTGAACTGAGATAACTTGTAAATGGGAAAACTTTCATCACGTAACTTTTTATATGTCATAAAGAATGTAGTTTTGAATATTTAAGTATTTTTTTGTAAAATTTTCACCAGGTATTTTTGAAACACTACTTCTCTAAAATTATAGGAAAATATCTAGGTACCTTAAAATAGCAATGTAGAACAATTAAGTCTTTGAAATATAGTCTTGTATAATCTTTGGTAATTTCATAGAATTCTAAGCCAGTAAACTTTTGTTACAAGTCATTAGGTTGTATTGTTAAAATACTGCCTTCTCTGAAATTCCGTAAATAGCCCAATTAAGGTTTAATTGTTTAGTTGTAATTTTATGTGTTATGATTTATGTATTGTGCATCTCTTGATGATATTATGTCTACATCTGAGAAGTTCGGTGAGAGTTCTAATTGGAGTTTTGTTATAAATATATATTTATAGGGTTTTGTTGTGAAAATTCTAAAAGTGTTGAGAGCTTGAGGGTTAGAAATTCTAAATGGGAGGTATAAGGATTTTGGAGTTATGAATGTGAGACACAAGTGCTAAAGTTCTATTACTTTTCATTCAACATATTATACTCTGAATTCGGTAAAACACTTAGTGTTTACAAAACCCCTATAATGTTATAACACACTATATTGTAAGTCTACTATTAAGCTTGGAATAATTGCTTTATTTTTAGTTTTTATTTTTGAAATTATTAAGAAATGATTTAGGTAATGTAATCTGTTGGGCTATGTTAGCTCATTATGTGTTCTGCATTTCATTTTCAAGTTAGGGCAAGGATAAATGATGGATTGAGTAGATAGGGCTACTTTTTTAAGTATAGTTGGTGAGTAGGTACTATTTCTTATTTTTAGTATTATAATTTTAAACAATCTTGACATTTTTTGTATTTCTTGCCCCATGTCTATTTGTTGTTGAGGATTGTGATAACAAAAATCTATAATATATACTTTTGTGAATCAATTTTAAAAAAATATTATGAATGAGTAAATTTATATATAGTAGAAAAATCAAAAGTTATGATGTCTGACATTTGAAAAGAAATACGATTTTTCTTCAATTAAAAAATTTTGGTCTATGCAATTCCGCCTATATTCTACCACCATATAATACGGTGTGACCTGTATCTGTGAGTCATATTAGGTTGGATTGTCATATCAAATTGGATTGTGACACAACCAACCTCTTCATTTATTGCATGTTATTTTAGCTTCACGCTTATTCAACTCCGTTGTCAATCTCACATATAGGTCTTGTTACAATAAAAATTAAATCTACCAAAGAAAATATTGCAACATTCCTCTTTTTCTTCTCTCAGGCTTCATTTGAGGCGACTTTTTTACTGCTTCTTAAAGAAGCTTTTTACTACAAAAAAATCCAAGTTTTTTAACTAAAAATATGGTTTTAGTAGTAAAAACATTGTCCCAAACAAAACCTCAATCTTCAAGACTTATTTTTTGAAGGAAACAGGAGTGCTAAACAACAACATATTTTATTGAATCAAAAAATTGTACAATCCAAATGCAAAATATGAACTACAAATATAACAAAATAACCCTAAAGCTATAAAAGTCTACCAAAGAAGTAACAAACACAATACACAACTCGCAAGTAACAACAACATTTTGACAAAATATATTATAAATTTAAGGGCATTTTCCCAATGCGTCCACATATGTAATATAGCAATAGTTTACTCTTTCTTTTGTTAGTTTTAAGCAAACCAATTTTTTAGTAACATGTTGACCTACCTAAGTATTATAAATACTCCTTTAGATCTGAAGATTTTGGTTTTGTTTGGGACGGTTTTCTTACTACTTCTAAAAACAGCTTTCTTGCACAAATATAAAAATTTTTGTACTAGTAAGGTGCTTTTAGAAGCAGTAAGAAAGCCGTCCCAAACGAAACCTTAACATGAAATAAAAAATTTCTAATTTTCCTTTCTCCTCCAACTTCTCATCTTCTTGACTCTTCAAGAAGCCTATCACTTCATTTGGTTAATAAACATAGGCTCATCTACAAAACCTGAAATAATGTACCACAATGGACCCGTTATTAGTACGGCTAAAAGATTATAATGACGAAACTAGTGTTACAGTTCATCCTGATACAGTCTGTACAGAGAAACAATTGCTTGACCCTTGCAAAGAAGCAAAGTATAGATCATTTCAAGATTTGGAATTTTCCAGCATTTTTTCAACAATATGCCTGCTCTTTTCCTCAAGATTCCGTCTCTTTTCTTCTATCTTTTCCCCAACTTTCTTTCCTAGATCCATCATTCTAGCTCGCCTGCCCACCCTTTTTGGCTTTGCATCCTCTTCAGGAAAGGTTGATGGGTTCTCCATTGTCGACCCAGGTGAGGCTGTCCTAGAAGAATCCACCCTGCCCTCCTGTACCCCATCCATTCTCAGTAATGGAGCCAACAATTCCTCGCTGGCGCTCGTGTCCGATCGCGTATCGCCATTATATGCGCCGCTCGAAGAAACCGATGTCGATTTGCCGGTTTCAGTGTGGGAAGAGGCAGACTTCAGAGCATCTTCATCAGATGCCTTATGTACATAAACTACATCCTTTACTTTTTCACTTTTATCATCAGAGTAACTAGTTTTAGTTCCACTGGGCTTTGTTTTTAGATCATTTGAATCAGATCTAGGCATACTCATATTCATGGCTTCCTGGCTTATCCGAACGAAAGGAGCAACCTTTTGAGGAATCCAATCATCCTTTTCTGCCAACATCCAGGGAATGCATATGCTTTCACAATTTGGAAGTACCAAACTGTCACGAACTGCAGCCTGTCATAAGAAAAAACAAAAACAAAAAAATTGATTCAAGTATTGATACTTATCAACAATCATGCATTCTTTGAAAGAGCGAGTATTTGGTACCTTAAACCGATTTCCCATGAGCAAAGCAATGTGAGTACTTGTGATTTTTCGTTCTCCAATGGAAGATTCTAAGTGCCAATCTATATCAGGCATTGATGTGAATCCAAACCATAACTGATCAGAAGGTGGTGGTCGTATATGCAAGCGCAGTGTTCCTCGGAGGCATGCAATTCTTATGGCTAAGGAAAGGGGCACCTTAAATGCCAAAGAGAGAGAACAAACAAATCGGAAAAAATACAGAGTGAGAAGCTCACATTGCTTTGGATACTTGAACTAAAATAAGTTCGAGCATAATAAAATGAGAAGGCTAAATTACAGAAGATGAAGGAACATTAAGTGGTGGCATCATCACTAAAGGATAAAATTAGATGATTTAACTACCAGAAGGAAGCTGCTCCACCAAACAGCAAAATTAATACTTCTTGTGCATGATACACCACGGTATTGACAGAACAAGTTTACATTCCCTAATCAAAACTGTCATCATTATTGACATATAACAATTTACTATTTATATGATCACTAAAGAGCATCATTTACATCCTAGAGAGCTTAATTAAATACTACTAGGCATGATCTAGACTCTTCCTTATGGTAATAAAGTAACAGAATAAAATTTCAAAGGAAGCCATTTCACTTCTGAATGCAAGCATCGCCATCAACGTTTAGTTTCATGTTTCAATAAAAAAAAGGTTACTACTTCTTCCATGCGACAAACTAACATCTTAAAGATAGATATAGGGTGACGAGAATCGTTCACAATCTCTGATTCCATCATCACCATAGGTCAGCAGTTAACTATATAGCTTAACCAAATACTATTACGCCTGTTGTGAAGATTTAGAAAGTCAAATCTACAGATAGATCATGAACAATTGAGAATATATGTTGGTGGAAGGACTATTTAGGTCTAGGATTTGCATATGAAAATGCAATGTAATGTACACAGAGAACTAGAATGAGGATTTTCTTGTGTTCTGATGCAAGAAAAAAAAAACATGAATTAACATATAAAGATCGTCTGGAAGCAAGCTAACACAGATACGTGTTTACTACTACGATGTAAACTAAAGAATAAGAATCAATATCACATGAAATTGGTGAAGGATTCCTCATCACAGAAAATTTATGATCATAAAAACAGAATGGGCACTCCAGACTTTATGCAATCGTGAAGGTTTGAATAAATCTAAAACATACAATCCCAATCAATAAGTAAGAAAATAGAAAATTTAGTACATTGGGAGATGGAAATGAATCCAAGGAAATAAGAACCGATTGGATAACACTATTCCATCAACTCCTCTTAAAGCATCAGACTTGAAATAAAGTAGAGTACTTCAAAACCAAAATAATTTTTTTACTAGATAATCATTCCATGATCCAAATATAAAAAGAGTGTCTACTTTTAATAGATATTACCCTGCTTAATATTATCCAAGAAACTAACAAACTCTGTATTGGAGGATAATTTTTGAAACTGGGGAACTTCTAAGAAGCGACCTCACAATCTAGGAAAATACTGTTAGACAGTATTGTACATTAGGATGAAATAGACCATATAATTCAAGACAAAGACCAATGGTGTATAACATATCATATGATATGCATTGGCATGCTTAAGTTATCTTAAACTCAGATTAAGGTAACCTTAAATTTATATCATGAATCACGTAGAGAGCATATCACATTGTAAAAAATGCTGCAAGTTCACCTTACATTCAGCCAACTAAAATCAAAACAAAGACCATCTTTGTCATCATACTATACGTGATTTGTTAATGGTGTGGTACAAGTTATGAAATGCTCGTATAGACTTGCCTTATGGTCCAACGAATATAAAATTGATAGACCATAAGGTGTGAAGATCATAGACAACACCGAAAAAATTGCATGCAAAAAACTCAAATATATAGAAGACTCACTACATTATCACGCAATAAATTTATAAGGACACATCACAACTAATTTGCATTGTTGACGATTGTAGACTTTGAGCACCATGTCACCTCTCGTTGGTTTGGATGCATTTAACTTTGTGAATAATGTTACTGATTGCCATTCAATATGTTTGGACAAAGTTCTTGAAGCTCTGCCAAGCAACCCAAGAATCATTAGAGGTCTTCCCGTCCGATGAGATGATGTATTCATCATCATTCCTAATTTGGGTTTATAATCTAAACATTTAAAATTATCTTAGATTAAAGATAAGGAATTGAAATCCAAAAAAGAAGTTTCAGAAAAATTCAGGTCATCACAGGTGAATTATGATATAAAGTTCCATAAGCCAACATTAAATATTGAACTATCCCATGGAATATCAACACTCAATAATATAACTCTGTTTATAAGCTTTCTATTTATATTTTTTATATAACTCAAGCCACTATAATAATGATTTTAGATGTGCTCCTTAGATGAATTTGTCCTAGGGGTGGAACTCAATTGTACAGCACAAATGAAAGTTGGCTAGGAGAGGGATAGAATATTATGATATGATTCTGCATTTGTGAAAGAGTTTTAACAAAGTTTTATATCAAGCATACACATCAACGAACTTCCAGAGTTTTCGCTAAAATGCAAGAATCCAGCTCAAAACTTCTTTTTTTGTCAGGCCCGGGTTTCAGCTGAAATAAATCTGTAACTATAAAAAATGAAAACAATAGTGCAAACTAATTAGACAATGATTAAGATGTAACAAAGTCTCCAGGATTTTTAGCATATGATAACCACCGACAATCTCAACGGGAATCATGTTAGTTGATCAGTTGACAAAAGAATTATACACAAACTAATACATGGATAATATACAATCTTAACTAAACACTATCTAAAGACAAACAAAATATACCTCTTCAACTCGTATTTATTTCCTCAATCAACAATTCATTCGACCAGAATCATTGTAACATTGAGTGGCCCATGCAAATCAAGTTGAGCATGCAAAGTTTCTTTCAAGACCTTTGATTGGGATAAATAGGAAAGCATGATATCAACACTTGCAACTAGTTGAAGATGTTGACAAAATGATAGTGCCAATAATACCATAATAAAAATGTCCACCACGCAGAGTGCACAAAAGCATCATGGGAAACATGTGATGGTGTTGAAGAAGAGTGGAAATAGGTGAGGTTTATGCCTCCAATGGCGCTTTCAATATTGATAGGACCATAAAAATGCCAGTGAAATATAAAATAATTCTGGATGAAGAGCAGATCTATCTTCTCAATGAAAGTTTAAAGATCAATTGCCAATATCCTGTCATGGAAACAATTTGATGCAACATTTTACGGTGCCAATCAATTGGCTTCAAGTTTAGTGAGGTTACTAATCAATTTCTTCAGATGAATGCCCACAAAATGAAGGCAAATCAGGTTCACACGTGCTAAGAAGAATATATATATATATATTTGAGGGGAACAACAACTTACCAAGTTGATATCAGATAAAAAGAGATCCATAATTGTTGTAGGATGAAGTACAGTTTAGTAATCTCTCTCCAATCAGAGCTCTTTCAAATTTACAACTGAATTTAATTGGACTAACTGATCAAATAAATTCATCTTAAATTTTTCAGAAATATGTACTTTCTTACTTGATACTTTCCGCATTCATACCACTATCAAAGGAGGAAACTTTTTCCATGAAACATTGCTGGAAAGACAGAGATCAGCAGATGCAAACATAATTTTTCTCCAATTTACATTAATCTTTTAGATGCAGCTTGTCTTCCAGTCAGAACTATCACTATCGTAGTAAAGAATCAATATACACTTCATATTGGATGCTTAGTAACTAATAAATGAGTCAAAATATATTTAGTTACTAAATTTGTAAGAACTAGAAAACAAGGCTAGCTTTTACTTGTCACCCAAGAAGTACAACTTGAATTTTTCTTTTCTATATGTACTAGACCTCGATGTTTCTTATACAAGTGAAATCTTCACATTGTCTTCAAGCCTTTACAAAAGTTTTTATGGAGATCTATAAGTTTACACTCGTTGAAACTGCCAGCAAATAACAGATCTTAATAACGTTTTAGTCAGTTTAGTATTTAAAGTTTTATTTTTTAGCTTTTCATTTAATGTCATTTAGTTCAATCATGTCTGTAATCATGCCCATGAGAACGGGAAGTGCTCTCTTAACTTTTGGATTCTCTGGCTCGGGTTTAAATGCTGGATGGTTTAATCATCAATTCATTGGCTTGCAATAGGGTTCACAAGTTCCATTTGCAAGAGGGTTCATTGACTATTGTAACATGGTTCCTATAGAAAATTTTGATATTCTTGTGCTTGGCTTAATCTGTGGTCACTATTTCCCATGATATCATATATGTTCAATGGTTAAGTCATGAGTCATTCCACTTTTCCACTGTCATACTTAAATGGTTTATTGTGGAGTTATAAGGTCTTTAGTTAAACTCAGCTACATCTGAGCTCATATGGCTTTTTTGTGACGTCTGAACAAGGAGGCAACAAACAGAGAGAATTAAAGTTCATATATATCAAAACAGAAGGTATGTAACAATGAATTATGGTTTAATAAAATTTCAATTTTCTGTAAATTTTGGCAGAGTTCAATGTTGTCTTTTGAGCGCAATGCATGAGGGACTAATTTTTCAACATAAGACATTTCTCTGTACAAGCATGAAGGAATCTAATATTAGTGAAGAAAAATGTAATTAATAAATATTCTCAAGAGAATGAACCAGATACAAAAAATGATTTGCAATTATAATATGAACATATGATATTATTGAATATAAATTTGCACCTACATTAGACTATGTTCATGGACTTGAAACTATGCTTAAAAAATAGTAAAAAATGGAGTTCGAAAGATTGGACTATCCCATGGAATATCAACACTCAATAATATAACTCTGTTTATAAGCTTTCTATTTATAATTTTTATATACCTCAAGCCACTATAATAATGATTTGGATGTGTTCCCTAGATGAATTTGTCCTAGGGGTGGAACTCAATTGAACAGCACTAATGAAAGTTGGCTAGGAGAGGGATAAAATATTATGATATGATTCTGCATTTGTGAAAGAGTTTTAACAAAGTTCTATATCAAGCATACAATCATCAACGAACTTCCAGAGTTTTCGCTAAAATGCAAGAAACCAACTCAAAACTTCTTTTTTGTCAGGCCCGGGTTTCAACTGAAATAAACCTGTAACTATAAAAAATGAAAATAATACTGCAAACTAATTAGACAATGATTAAGAGGTAACTCAACAAAGTCTCCAGGATTTTTAGCATATGATAACCACCGACAATCTCAACGGGAATCATGTTAGTTGATCAATTGACAAAAGAATTATGCACAAACTAATACATGGATAATATAAAATCTTAACTAAACTCTATCTAAAGAAAAACAAAATATACCTCTTCAACTCGTATTTATTTCCTCAATCAACAATTCATTTGACTAGAATCATTGTAACATTTGAGTGGCCCATGCAAATCAAGTTGAGCATGCAAAGCTTCTTTCAAGACCTTTGATTGGGATAAATAGGAAAGCATAATATCAACACTTGCAACTAGTTGAAGATGTTGACAAAATGATGGTGCCAATAATACCATAAACAAAATGTCCACCACGCAGAGTGCACAAAAGCATCATGGGAAACATGTGATGGTGTTGAAGAAGAGTCGAAATAGGTGAGGTTTATGCCTCCAATGGCACTTTCAATATTGATAGGACCATACAAATGCCAGTGAAATATAAAATAATTCTGGATGAAGAGCAGATCTCTCTTCTCAATGAAAGTTTAAAGATCAATAGCCAAGATCCTGTCATGGAAACATTTTAATGCAACATTTTACGGTGCCAATCAATTGGCTTCAAGTTTAGTGTGGTTACTAATCAATTTCTTCAGATGAATGCCCACAAAATGAAGGCAAATCAGGTTCACACGTGCTAAGAAGAATATATATATATATATTTGAGGGGAACAACAACTTACCAAGTTGATATCAGATAAAAAGAGATCCATAATTGTTGTAGGATGATGTACAGTTTAGGAAAATCTCTCCAATCAGAGCTCTTTCAAATTTACAACTGAATTTAATTGGACCAACTAATCAAATAAATTCATCTTAAAGTTTTCAGAAATATGTACTTTCTTACTCGATACTTTCCGCTTTCATACCACTATCAAAGGAGGAAACTTTTTCCATGAAACATTGCGGGAAAGACGAGATCAGCAGATGCAAACATAATTTTTCTCCAATTTACATTAATCTTTTAAATGCAGCTTGTCTTCCAGTCAGAATTATCACTATCGTAGTAAAGAATCAATATACAGTTCATATTGGATGGTTAATAACTAATAAATGAGTAAAAAAAAATTTAGTTACTAAATTTGTAAGAACTAGAAAACAAGGCTAGCTTTTACTTGTCACCCAAGAAGTACAACTTGAATTTTTCTTTTCTATATGTACTAGACCTCGATGTTCCTTATACAGTGAAATCTTCACATTGACTTCAAGCCTTTATAAAGTTTTTATGGAGATCTATAAGTTTACACTCGTTGAAACTGCCAGCAAATAACATATCTTAATAACGTTGTAGTCAGTTCAGTATTACAAGTTTTATTTTTTTGCTTTCAATTTAATGTCATTTAGTTCAATCATGTATGTAATCATGCACATGAGAAAGGGAAGTGCTCTCTTAACTTTTGGATTCTCTGGCTTGGGTTTAAATGCTGGATAGTTCAATCATCGATTCATTGGCTTGCAATAGGGTTCACTAGTTCCATTTGCAAGAAGATTCATTGGTTCTATCGTAAGTGCTAGGTTTTTATAATGTTAGATTGACTATTGTAACATGGTTCCTATAGAAAATTTTGATATTCTCGTGCTTGGCTTAATCTGTGGTCACTATTTCCCATGATATCAAATATGTTCAATGGTTAAGTCATGAGTCATCCCACTTTTCCACTGCCATACTTATCTGGTTTATTGTGGAGTTCTAAGGTCTTTAGTTAACCTCCGCTACATCTGATCTCATATGGCTTGTGACGTCTGAACAAGGAGGTAACAAACAGAGAGAATTAAAGTTCATATATATCAAAACAGAAGGTACGTAACAATGAATTTTGGTTTAATAAAATTTCAATTTTCTGTTAATTTTTGGCAGAGTTCAATTTGTCCTTTGAGCGCAATGCAAGTGGGACTAAATTTTCAACATAAGACATTTCCCTGTACAAGCATGAAGGAATCTAATATTACTGAAGAAAAATGTAATTAATAAATATTCTCAAGATGATGAACCAGATACAAAAAATGATTTGCAATTATAATATGAACATATGATATTATTGAATCTAAATTTGCACCTACATTAGACAATGTTCATGGACTTGAACCTATGCTTAAAAAGAGTGAAAAATGAAGTTTGAAAGAACAACTGAATATTAGAGCATGAACATCCCCTGAAAATTTAACCTATGCCTAAATATTGAACTAAATCAATTATGTCTATTATAGTTAATGAATCAAATAAGCAATCTAAAAATACAACTCTTTAAGAAAAAAATTTAATTAGTACTCTTTTAGAATTTTTAATTTCCAATTCGAATTATGCACTTTTATGAAATACGCCATCTAGTTGAATAGGAATCCTAAACCTGAATGTACTTGCATCATTTTTAGCTTCTAAATTGCTCTTACCTCCTTCAAATAAAAAAAAATGTTAAAAAATAGAACATAATATCTAATAATATCTCAAGCTGCACAGATCAATTCAGTCACAAAAATCTAACTAAAACATTCATTACTAGATAGCTCAGCTACCCCTCACAGTTTCTTTATAATCAACCAAAATGGTTTATTCACATAGTATAACAAATTAAACATTTTCTGAAAAAAAAATCCCAGTTTATTACATACCTGTGAAACTTGTTCGGCAATAGTATGTAGAATAGTCTTCCATTTTGATTTGTTAACTAACCCAGGAGTTGAGATCTTTGGTTGTTTCGAGCAATCTAAAAACAGAGAGAAATTAAGAAAAGGAAAAATCCCATAAATAGATTTAGCATGCAGCAATGCATGTTAATGCCTTCTACTTTGTCAAAAATGTAAGCTTCCATCATAAACTATTTCCCTTAATATTAAATCTAGTTTCAACTTTCAATTGCTGCAGATGGTGATTCAACTCTAATACATGAGCGAGAAGGCTAAATCTCCATGTGTGGATTAACATTCAGATGTAAAGATTAAAACAAAAAATATACAGGCATACCTCTTAATTAGCAAATAAGCACGCACGTGTAATAAACTTTATTCTAAATATCAAAAACTTGTTTCTACTATTGAAAATGTGCTTCAGGAAAGATATTTGTGCAATCTTAGCATATATGTATAGAGAGAGAGAGAGAGAGAGAGTGAGTGAGATTGTAGTGCATTGAAAATAAGCACCTTTAATTTTGCCCAGCAATCTTTAGCAGTGCCCCTTATTGCCTGAGAATAAAAAAAGAAAGATCAACAAAGGGAAAGGGAGCGAGAGGATGGGAGAGAGAGACAAAGAGAGTAAGAATAAGAGAAATGGAAAGAGAAAGGGAAAGAGACAACTAGGAGAGGAAAGGTAGGCCAACGTGAGAGGGGGTAAATGTGTGGTTCAGGAGAAGCTCAATGACTCCAACTTGTTAGTTGTAATTGATTCATTAAGACACTCTACTTCATTTTCTTTCATCTTTTCACACAAAACAAAAAGCAAAAAAGTAAGATAAAACATAAGAGATTTGAGTAGAAGAGGGTGACATCAAATGAGAATGGGTAGTTGGGTGAGAGCATGAGGGTGGTTGAGGCGCTGAAAGGGTTAAAATGATTAAATTTTTTTAATTTGTTTGAATTTTAATGAGGGTTCATCCTGCTTAAATATTTTGTTAGAGAATTTGTTGGATCTGAAAATTTTGGAAATGTTATTACAATACAATTTTTACTATATTTATTTTTGCCTTTATAGTACTCATTTTATGATAACTTTTGTCATTTTATTTATCAGTTTTTATATCCTTGTCATACTTTATATAAGATTCATGATTTCTTCATATTTTTCCATTCCTAGAACTGATTCATGCCAACACATTTCTTATTATAAAACACTATTCATCACTTGCTTAATGCGCAAACTTCTGTATGTTTGCCTTTTGCTAAATTTCTCATGCCTAACATGCCTTTTAAGTTAATTTTATGCTTAACTATAGAGACCCAATTTTAGCTTATATTCTAAAATGAATGAGTTTTGGATGTTTTGTAGTGATTTGTTGATGTGAGCCTTAACAGTTGGATTAATTATTTTGTGTGGAAGTCGAACGCGGTCCGGAGACCAACCAGAATGCACCACATCACCCCTTCGCTCGGTACCGCAGCTCAGTACCGCTCAATACAGCTGCTCAATACCGCTGATGTGGAGCATTCTTGTTAGCCTTCGGACGGCATTCTACGTCCGGCCTCCGTACAGAATAATTTCTCCAACAGTTGACATAAATTTTCTTATTTTACGATCAATAAACATTTCTGTTATTTCTTGTATATCAAAATAAGATAAAATGATACTAATGTTGTGGGTTCTACGTATATAGACACTTGTTATAGTTTTTTTAAATATCTTTCATGCTTTCATAATTTGTAACATATATGTCATTCAATTTAATTTACAGTCAACTTTGTCGAATAAGATTTATTATATTAAACTGTAAATGTTATTCCCACTACGCTTATGTCTTTTCGTTTAATAACTTAATTACATTTTGAAGTTAACTCTCTGAGTTACATTTTTACACATGTTACTTTAGATTTCCTCCTGCTATGATTTGAATGCAAGTACTCTTTTAACATCATTTTTACATATTCTTAATGTGAATGTTTACTATTTATACAACTTCTATGAGTTTTCAATTCTGTTAAAATTGATTTCGATAATAATAGTTTAGCCATCTCTCAATTCTGACCTTATTATTTATATGATTATTTATGAGTTGATTTCTTTTCAAATGGCTATAGCCACAAGTTCTTTTTATTGGCAACTATGATAAAACCATTTTTATATGAACCTACATTAACAATAAATGAACTATATATAACAATGAAATTATAACATCCCTGAAAACCTGTTAGACCGGTCCAGCCGGTCCTTTTTCTGCAGTTTTTCCCTGCTTTCCTACTGTTTTTGGCTGTTTTTCTGCTGTGGACAGCAGTTTTACATTGGATCTACTTGGTTTTGGTGAGAAACACTTGGAAATCCAAGTATTTCCTATCAAAACCATACATATGTTGAGAGATTTGATGGAGAAGTATAGAGAGTGTCAGGAGGATCTATATATGATATTTATTGATTTAAAGAAAATATTTGATAAAGTTTCAAGAGAAGTACTCTAAAGAGTTTTAGGGGAAAAAAAAGAGTTAATAAAGTTTATATTCAAGTCATTAAAGATATGTATATAAGAGTTGTTGTTTGTGTTCAAACATAATGTGATTTGACAAAGTACTTTCCTATTTCAATTGGATTACATCAAGGATCAACTTTAAGCCCATATCTTTTTGACTTAGTCATGTATGTTCTTACTAGATATTTGCAAGAGGATAGACCTTGGTGTATGATTTTTGTTGATGATATTCTTTTTGTTGATATGCCTATAGATGGAGTTAAAAACTTGAATTATGGAGATCAACCTTAGAGTTTAAAGGTTTTCGCTCAAGTAGATCTAAAATCAAATACATTGAGTGTGATTTTAGTACTAACAGATCTATTGGTGGGATTATGACATTGGGTGATCAAGTCATTGAAAAGAGTGCACATTGTTCAAAGCAATGATGAAATAGATGGGAATAATAATAGTAGAATTCATGTTGGATGGTTAAAGTGGAGGAATGCAACAGGCATGTTGTGTGACAGAACTGGAAAAATGATCAAAATGATCCCTTGATTTTTTTATAGACCAAAATAGCCCTCAACTATATTAAAGGATCATTTTGATCCCTCAAATCTTAAAGAAGAATCAAATCAATTCCATCGTGGAACTATTTTGGTTCTTCTTTAAAGAATTGAAGGACCAAAATATTCCTTTAACATAGTTGGAAACTATTTGGTCTTTTATAGAGAGTCAATGAACCATTTTGGTCATTTTCTCTAGAGTAAATTTATGAATTTTTTTTACTAAAGAGTAGACAAAACAACACCTCCAGAAATTGCTTTTTGTTTCCACAACATTTACTAATCCAGACATAACGAAAAAAACTTCATGAATTAGGTGAACTGTAAATTGGGCTGTTGCAGCAAGCATAATTTTGTTAAGAATGTTTGGTACTAAAAGTATATAGACGCCTAGGACCATAAACATATTTAAGTCTAAAAAGTATATTAAATATGTGATGCTAAACAGAATCTTGAGCCAATCATTATCAGGGAAGAAATTGTTGCTGAGTAAGAAAATCATAAGTTCAGAATAAATAAGGATAGCTATGAAGAACCTATTGGGCTAGCATGTCTTCAGCAGTAATATGATTATGCGTAGTAGAGGAGACTCGGAAAGCTGGCAAGACATACAGAATGCAAGGAGGCTCAGAGAGCTGATAAGATTTACAGGACAAAGGCATGTTTGTTTTTTTCTAACGTCTGCAGCACAAAAGTTGGTTAACTGGCTGTGGGCATGACACTGAAACCCATTTAGTCATATTTGGATGTATGTACTACAGAAAAAAAAAAACAATTATGGCTTAGCTACAGTTCTAATCCAAAAGAATTTCTTTTTACTGTATAATCGCTTAGTAGCAGTGTGAGATTTTTATTTACTGGAATTGCGCAAAGGCGGGCCTCAAGGCGAGCCTCATATTGCACAATTTTAAACCATGAACCTACGTTAACAATAGATGAACTATATTTAACAATGAAATTATAACATCCCTAAAAACCATACATATGTTGAGAGATTTGATGGAGAAGTATAGAGAGTGTTAGGAGGATTTATATATGATACTTATTGATTTAAAGAGAAAATATTTGATAAAGTTTCAAGAGAAGTACTCTAAAGAGTTTTAGAAAAGAAAAAGAGTTGATAAAGTTTATATTCAAGTCAGTAAAGATATGCATATAAGAGTTGTTGCTTGTGTTCAAACACAATGTGATTTGACAAAGTACTTTCCTATTTCAATATCTTTTTGACTTAGTCATGTATGTTCTTACTAGATATTTGCAAAAGGATAGACCTCTATCCTTGGTGTATGATTTTTGTAATTGATGATATTATTCTTGTTGATATGCCTATAGATGGAGTTGATGAAAAACTTGAATTATGGAGGTCAACCTTAGAGTTTAAAGCTTTTCGCTTAAGTAGATAAAACCAAATACATTGAGAGATTTTAGTACTAATAGATCTATTAATGGGATTATGACATTGGGTGATCAAGTCATTTAAAAGAGTGCAAATTTTAGATAAATTGGGTCTAGTGTTCAAAGAGATGATGAAATAGATGGGAATATTATCAGTAGAATTGAAGTTGGATGGTTAAAGTGGCGGAATGCAACAGGCATATTGTGTGACAGAACTAAAAAAATTATCAAAATGATCCCTCGATTTTTTATAGACCAAAATAGTCCCCAACTGTATTAAAGGATCATTTTGATCCCTCAAGTCTTAAAGAAGAATCAAATCAATTCCATGGTGGGACTATTTTGGTTCTTCTTTAAAGAATTGAGGGACCAAAACATTCCTTTAACATAGTTGGGAACTATTTAGTCTTTTATAGAGAGTCAATGAACCATTTTGGTCATTTTCTCTAGAGTAAATTTATGAAATTTTTTTACTAATGAGTAGACAAAACGACACCTCCAGAAATTGCTTTTTGTTTGCACAACATTTACTAATCCAGACATATGAAAAAACTTCATGAATTAGGTGAACTGTAAATTGGGCTATTGCAGCAAACATAATGTTGTTAAGAAAGTTTGGTACTCAAAGTATATAGACGCCTAATACCATAAATATCTTTAAGTCTAAAACATATATGAAATATGTGATGCTAAACAGAATCTTGAGCCAATCATTATCAGGGAAGAAATTGTTGCTGAGTAAGTAAATCATAAGTTCAGAATAAATGAGGATAGCTATGAAGAACCTATTGGGCTAGCATGTCTTCTGCAGTAATATGATTATGCGTAGTAGAGGAGACTCGGAATGCTGGCAAGACATGCAGAATGCGAGGAGGCTCAGAGAGCTGATAAGATTTACAGGATAAGGGCATGTTTGTTTTTTTTCTAACGTCAGCAGCACAAAAGTTGGTTAACTGGCTGTGGGCATGACACTGAAACCCGTTTAATCATATTTTAATGTATGCATTACAGAAAAATAAAAAATTATGGCTTAGCTACAGTTCTAATCCAAAAGAATTTCTTTTTACTGTATAATCGCTTAGTAGCAGTGTGAGATTTTTATTCTGAGAGTGAAAGTGGGTAACAGGCTACGTTTAGGTAACAAGCTAAATCAGAAGAGACTGAAATACCGGCTAAGTTTAGGTAACTACTACTACTGGAAAATTTTGTTCGGCAGCAGGCCAGTCTCAATGTCTTTTAAAGGAGCCAAATATGCAAGACGTGAACTGGACCCAAGGATATTGAGTGATCACAGTAACGATGATGAAGTGGTGACGGTCAGAAAATGGGATAAGACATGAGAAGAAAAAATATAGTTTATGGCTTCGATTTATATATTAAGCACAAACAATAAAAAGTTGTAATGTTAGTTTAAAACTGTTCATATATCTCTGAAGTATCTAAGCTAGAAAGCTAAAAGATGAAATTAAAATTGTGCAAATTAATTATGTTGATGCGCTCATGTATCTTAACATACCTACTTCACCCTCTTCATCTTTTTCATCTAATTGATCAGATAAGCAGGCAGACGAATTTAATTGATTGCTGTAGTATTCAATGCCCTCAAGAAGACTGGATGTCTCTTCATTATAACTTGGTTCTGAGCTAGCATTGATGAACTCTTCCTGCAGCTCTGGTTCACAAACTTCAATCCTTGTTTCAATGTCCAAGAGTAAACCACCCAAATATTCGATGTCAAACTCCACTGCCCAAACCTCCGTCAAATCCATGGGAAGAACCCTAATTTTATGAATATAAGGTGGAAGATTTCCAAGATCTATGCTTGTACATGTAATTCCACCAATGTAGCTAGGCGTTCGCATATTAGACAATGTTTTCTGCCGGAAGAACTAAGATGTAAGGGTTGAATTCTAGATTGAGAAGTAAAATGACTGGAAATAAAAAAGGCTACCTGGATGCGGGATTTCACTAAACTGTTCAGTTCAGCACTTCTTTTTGCATCAAAAAACAGCCGTGACAATAACAAATTCCAGCACAAAGTGCCATCATCACCAAAAAGCTTATCATCAAATGCTGCATCAGACATGATGGGACCCTTATTGCTTAAATGCACGTCTTGAAAGGAGCTGCTAGAATATTTGTCTTCTAAAGGGCTTTTTACAGATCCTTCAGATAATGTCACGTCATTCAGTGTGACTAACTTCTCAGCGGTCTTTCTGGTATCACGTGTAGATGATAAAACTGGATTTGCTCTACTTTCAACGCCACTCTTTGAAGCTTTCTTGGTTAGCTTTTTAAAAAAAAAGCGAGCCTTCGAATAAGTTGATGACCCATCAACCCTAATAGTTTTCTCTACAATCTCTCCATGCAAGGCAGAAGGTTTTAGAAATGAAGGGAATTCAGCACTAAATGATGCCAGATAGAAGTTGAACTCCTTGCTTATTTGAGCATACCAATTTATCAATTTATTGTCACGTGAGGAAGCTAGACGAAGAGCTTTGCACCAAGATTCTTTCTCCCAAGCAGTATCAAAATACAAGTAATATGTTTTGCTTCCATCATAAACTGTTGAACTCTTGCTTTCCAGCCTAAGGGGATACCTTTTGGCCCTGTTGCAGAATTATTGAGCAATATTAGATTTTCAAAAAAGTATTTCTTAGGATAATCAAGCTGCCCCTAAATACTTGTGATAAGGTTAATAATGATGATATGTTATGACTTTTTAGATTAAAGTCAATGATGTCAAGCACTTCTAAAATAATTTAAACAAACAGACAGATTTCAGAAAGCATAATAAGCATGAAATGAAATGTCTTCGTCAACTACGACTACACAATTTAAAATTGATTATTTCTGTTTCAAAGAAATGATGGAGTACAAATAATCCATCTGCGCCCAGAGTTGATGGTTCAGAGTTCACAAGTACCAAATGAAATGTTCAAGAAGAAGGAAAAGTTAATGGTCTTAGTTGATGGAAACTTGTAAAATTCACCTTCTAGCGTACAATCTTTGCGAATAAGGATATATTTTGTTTGAGTTTGGTATTCAAACCCCCAAATTTCAATTTCTTTGCAAATATAATTAAATGCAAATACTATGATTGTTTTCAATTATCTTATTAACTCTTTTCTATGCTACTTTTCCATACAATCCCTCCACCACTGCACCATCACGCTGATATTGAAACCTCTTGCTCATGAATTAGTACAGAGCTTGCAAATTGTAATAAGATTTCATTATCCTATGTACCATGCATGGCTCATATGGGATCTCCAACAAGATCCCTTGCGTGGGAAAATAACAGGTACTTGAATGGAATCCTACTGAGAAGGTAGTCCTACCTAAGATCCTTGTCAATTGGTAGGTCGGCCAAAAGTTTTGATGCCAACCAAAATACTCATGGTCAACCAAAATAATCTTTAATCTAACCAGACGCATTTAACCTAGTAGAGATCCCTAGGCTGTGCCAAACTCGTGCAAAGATGACTAACATAATTTGGTTGGTTAGCCAACAACTTTCTAGTCAAACAAACACCCTTGGTTTAACTGAAGATTTTTTAGTTGGTCAACAGAAGAAACATTTGACCAGTAGAGATGTTTAGGTTGCACCAAACTCAAACAAAAATGATTAAGTTACATCCAACTCAATAGTTTATGATCAGATATAGTGCAGACCAAACATCATTCCCTTATTTGCAACTCGAATATGATCGCTTAAGTTTGGTAGCAAACCAAGCACTCAAACTTAGTTTGGGTGCCATCCAAACATCCCTACTTAGCTTCAATGCAATCCTAACATCTTTGCTGAGGTTTGATGCAACCCAAGCATTTTAACAAGACTATTTGGGACTTCATCGAATATTTTTTTTGGACAAATTTTTATTTAAACAAAATAAAATTTTTTTATTACTCGCAGTAGTCAACCAAACGACAAACAGATGCCTTGAATATCCTACATAGGTTCCATGATCATTCATAATTAATAAAATGTTGCACCTGTCAAAGTGAAATATTGACGTCAGGTCCCTACATCAGAGTGATAGCACAATCGCAAAGGGATGCAAGGGAAAATAAGATGAATGATATAATTAAAAATAAACATAAAGACTTAAATAAGAAAAGTTAAAACAATGTCCTTGTCAATTATATATTGGGGACGGTGATGAGGGATGGTTTGTAGGGTTTCCTTCCATAATAATCCATTATATAAATATTAAATTGATGAAAATGCTTCAATTTTTGTAGCTTACCATTTTTTCGAAGATAAATTTGAAGAAGATACAGCTAATATTGTACAATCAAAGAGCTTAATGGTCGCTTGAGAACCATCCAGATCAGATAAGATTAACAAATGGTCTTTGATTTTAGCATACTTCTTTACAGGCTGTACTTGAACAGTACTTTTCTTCAATTTCAGCTCCTTAGGTCCTCCAGTTTGAGATTCATTTAAACCAACCTTTGGAACATTTTCAGGCTCCAAAAACCAAACTATTCCCTGATTATGATAAACACGAAAAAGCTTGAAAATATATAAGTTGAAATAAAAAACCGACATTCTGCATGTGAGATGAAGACTGCATCATCAAGGGAAAATAAAAATAAAAATTTCACAAAAATAAACTTGTAAGAAAATATACCTCATAATCTAGAAAAAATCATATAATGAGATATGCAAACATTAGATAGGAGGATATTGGTGTAAATGTGTGCTCATGACCCTATGAACATGCATACGTGTTCTTGTGAATCATCCATAGTGGTTATGCATGTATACACAAATTTTTATGCACCTTGAAGATGCCATTCAAATACAACAAATTAAGCAAAAAACATTTAGAGTTCTAACAAGCTATTAAGGTTATCATTTAGGTAAAATACGAGATTCTTTTCAATCTCACATTGGCTACTTGATAAAGAACATGAACAATATGACAGAAGATGTAATGGAAGAAAAATATAAGAGAAATGCTCTATCCACCAACACATACCCAATACAATTTTGTGAACTACAATAAATCATAAAAAATTTTAATGGTGGCTCATCATCCCCTCGTATTATTTTGCTCATCTTATATCTAAGATGCTCCTATATATCTGAGATGCCACGTAAAAAACATATTGAAATTTTGTTGGGTTTGTCAAAGTGAGACGCGTTGCACAAAGAATAACGATGCATTAACTCGGATAAAACTGAACTTAATAACAAAATTGACTGTATAATTCAATTGCGTAGAACTATAAAATGGCAAACCGGCCAAAAGAGCCATTAACGCTATTCAAAGCCATATTAATTCTCAACTTATTATCAACAAATCTCACAAGAAAGTTCATAGTTTCCTTTTTTCCATCCTTACGGTTCCAAGAAATTGCTCAAAGAAACATTACGTAACAGCAAGTTAGGCCAAATATATATATATAAATTCCAGCACGTAAGCACATAACAATAAACATAATGCTAAACAAGCGCAAAATGACGAATGCCGATCACAAGGGTCGCAAAGACTGCACAGCCAAAATCCAGATCAATGTGCCGACGCTCACCTGCTTATTACTCGCGGAGGCGAGCCACTGCTCGGAGTAGAGACCACCAGGTTCCTGCTGCGGCTCGGGCCCTGCTAAAGCCTTCCGGCGAAGCCGAACGATGGCTAGGTACAACGCCAAGCCCTCTGCTGCTAGAACTAGCAGGGATCCAAGAAGGAAACCCAGAACAAGGGTGACGAAAGCCATCGCCGAGATGGCTGTAGAGTACAGGACCTATCAAAACCTCTCGCGAAGATATGTAGCGATCGCTGAGGCAGAGAAGGAATGGAACGAGTTAGGGTTACTTCAACGCAGCGATTGCGGAATCAGTCGAGCGAGGAATCAGTCGAGCGAGGAATCAAAGGCACGTGATTTATTCGTTTTATCTTCTGCAGTACAGACGGGAAGGGTCGGGTCCCAAAAAAGTAGAGCGAAATGGTTCTGATACGATTCGACTTCCGTACTGGTTTCGTTCATCCAATTTCTCCTCGGTCGGCAGGTTGCTTCCTGGAGATGGTTAGAAGCCAAAGTCCGTGTAGCCTCTATCAATGTAGCCGTCCGTGCTCCGCTTAGCTGATTGGTTAGCATGTGGTGGACCGAATTGCAAACAGGTGAGGCAACAGCGACGGCTACATTTTATGCCTACAATTTTTTTTTTTTTTTGAAACAATTAAACGACCTTGACTGTGGCTTGAAAGAAAAGGATGATAGCGTACGAATGAGAGCGACAGTTGATACTATGAGAGAAATATAATGAAAATATTTTTTCTACTTTTTTTTTTTATTTTTTTGAAAATTTTGGGACTTAAGACCATGTATTAAACCCAAAAAAAGATTACAAGTAACATATAAAGCAAGAAGAAAAATAACAACATAAAAAAGAAATCTCACAGCCCCACCCAAAAACAGGAGGAGAAGAGATCAAAATAGACTCAGAAGGACATGTTAACTTAAAACCCAAAAAACATCAGTTAGATTCATAACTATCGAAGCAAGAATAGTGATCACGAAGCCCAGGTTGCCACAGGCCTGCCAAGCAAAACTGGTAGGCACTGGACCATCACAATGGGAGCAGGCAGCAACGGAAAATCCTGCCAAGAGTTAACTCGTATCATCATCGTCCAGCAAAACCAAAACAGACGTAGCCAAAACGGCTAAAACAACCCATCAAACTTTGATTTGAGCGTGTCCACATTTTTCCATCTCTTAACTTTAGTCAAAACAGCAACTTTTATAGCCACAATGATAGACGTGGGACTGCACCAAGAATTAGAGAAACAACGATTATTTCTTTCCCTCCATTGTTGATAGAATAGTGCAGTTCAAGAGAAAGAAACAAATTTGTTTCTCTAATATGTTGTAATGAGACATGCCATCAAGAAAATCAAAAGCATGTAAGATGTTCGGTCTTACCAGAAGGAATCGAAAGCTGAGAACAAACTAGTGAGCACCAGGAAGGAAAAATTGCAGTCAAAGAAAATGTGCTGATGGGATTCCAGAGACACGCGACAAAAGGAGCACATCGGATTAACAATAAGGCCCCTAGAAATGAGGATATCGACTCATTTAAGCTTCCCCAAAATTGCCATCCAAGCGTAACAGGAAAACCTAAGAGAAAATTTCATGCGTCAAATGAATTTGTTCCAAGTAACCTTGCTCAAGTGATAGTAAAAAACTTCCGAGAACTGCTTAAGTGAAGGATAATTGGAGCCGTCCAATGATAGCTCTGGTTTCTCCAAGATGCTAACTTCCTAAATAATTTGTCGTAAAGAGTCAGGGACAAATTCAGGAAGGGACCAATGCCCATTGATAATAAACTCGCTGACAAGAGAAAGGGGCCAACTCATATCCATAGAGAAGTCAGCCAACGAATGCCCATTACACCAAGGATCCCAAAATATAGAGAATTGGCAGCAAGGAGAAACAGAAAGTTTAACCACAAGTTTAATAGTGTGGGCAGTAGTGCAAAGCAGCTTACAAAATTTGGAGGCAAAAAGAGGAGGGGTCTTCCAAGGTGAACCGTACTTAGCACAGACCCAAGAGCTGAAGAGGATGTTGTTAGTGAAAATGCGCCAGATACAAGCACAGGAGACCCCAAAATGCAGGGCTTCAATGGACGGGATACCAAACCCCACAAATTTCTTTAGCCTAGTAGTATAATTCCAGGAGATTAAGTACATCTTTCTCTCATTAATGTTCCCTTGGTAAAGGAATTTGGCACATAGCTTAGAAATAGAAGCTTGGCAGGCTTTAGGTATAATAGACCCCCTAATCCAGTAAGATATAGTATTGGCCATAGTAAATTTTAGTATTGGACACGTCTCGCAAAAGAAATGAACTTAGCTTTTCAACCTTCAAGGAGTGCAGAAACTTTCCTCAAATGGGTTGAAAATGGGAAAATTTTAGCCTGTAAGGGGAAATAGGAACCCCTAGGTAGGTTAAAGAGGACTCAAGCTGGTGAATCCCAAGTATGGCTGAAATGTCCCCAACAAAGGTGACATTCCTATTGAAAATAATAGCACTATTATTGAGGTTAACAAGCAGACTAGAAGAATTTGCAAAAGTGTGGAGAGCTTCTTGAAGATTTTTGGCATTGAGAATGGAGGCAATCCCAAAAACAAGAATGTCGTCAGCATACATTAAGTGGTTAATTGTGATCCCTTTACAGCAGATGCCCGAAAAGTAAGTAGGCTGAAGGCAGCAAGACAGACCGTCCATAGCAATATTAAATAGCAACAGAGAGAGGGGGCAACCCTGCCTAAGCCTAGAAGTGGACTTGAAAAAGCCTTCCAAAGAGTCATTAATACATATGGAAAAATAAACATCAATTATGCAGCCTTTAATCCATTTGATGAATAAATCGGAAAAACCTTTCAAAAGTCTCTCTAAGAGGAATTCTCTCGATGGGGAGTCGAAAGTTTTTTTAATATCAAGTTTGGCACAAAATAAGTCCCTTCTTGATTTGAATTTCTTCAACATCTCAGTTGTCAATAGAGTATTGTCAGTGGAATATCTCTTCGTGATGAAGCCAGCTTGGCTATCATTGATGATAAAAGGTAAGACAGATTTGAGCCTGATTGTAACTAACATAGCCACAATTCTATATAACACATTGCACAGAGAAATAGGCCTGAAATCCAAAATGTTAGAGACATGAGAACACTTGGGGATAAAAGTGATAGCCGTGGTTTTAACCCCTTTAGTAAGATAACTAGTATTAAAGAAGCTCTTGACTGCCTTGCAAACATCGGGCCTAATAAGATGCCAAGAATGCTTGTAGAATTGAAAAGAAAACCCATCCGGATCTAGTGTGGAGGAGGACTTCCCATCAAATATAATGCTTTTAATTTCCTCGTTATAAATGAGAGCTAACAGAGTGCTGAAAAGTGAGGAGGGAACCAAACTCCCAGCAGGAAGAGAAGAGTCATGCATAAGAGTGGGATTAGTAGAATTGTAAATATCTTTAAAGTGAGCAATGATAGCAGAAGCAACCTCCTGATGAGAAGTAAAAAAATCATGGGGAGTAGAGATAGCTTTAATTGAGTTGTTGTTCTTCCTGACCCTAATCTTGGCATAGAGAAAGCCCAAATCATCCTCTCCTTGAGAGAGCCAGGAAGCTTTAACTCTTTGAGAGACCCAAGAGGACCAAAAATCCTGGTAGGAAGCCAACAAACCATTCACTTTTTTGATAGAGGAGTTTAAGAAAACATCCAAAGGATGGCTTTGAAGCTCACTAAGGAGGCTACGTTGCAAAGATTTGAGCTCAAGGATTGAGCTAGTAAGATGGTTGGAGGAGGCCCAATTCACCCTTTTGAGGGAACCTTTGAGATTTTTGAGACTAAAAAAAAAACAGCAATAGGACTCCCACAATAATTCCTGTTCAAGGTATTAAGAACTAAGTGCCAAAAACCATTCATATTACTCCAAAAATTCTTATACTTGAACCTAATCGGAGGCTTTATGTTATTGGAAGGGACAAAAATAATGGGAGAATGGTCGAACCCCAAGGGAGGATCAACCTTATAGAAGGCTGAGTTATAACAGTCCAACATAGCATAATTCAAAAGCATGCAATCCAATTTTATATGGATAGGGAGATCCACCCTTTGTTTGAACCAAGTAAAGAACAATTCAACAGTGACCAGGTCCTGCAGCCCACAGTCAAAAATGAACTTATTAAATTTCTCTAGCCTACCCTAATTTTTCAGACTCAAATCTAAAACAATTGAAATCACCAAGAATAATCCAAGGGTGGCCAGGGTCAGAGGCCAAATCCCTAAGCTGATCCTAGAGGAGCCTCCTATCTTCAGGAATGTTAGTAGCATAGAGGTATATAGGAGGGTAAGAGCCTTCAGAATAAATACCATGAACAACTTGAAAAGAAGAGAAAATATGAGAGAAGGACACTTGGGAGGAATCCCATTTGATCCAAATTCTACCAGTCGAAGAGAAATTAAAATTGTTGCAGCTCATTTCATTATAAAAAATAAGATGAGAATTAACAAACCACGAGTCCAACAGATCTTGCATGAGAATTTTTGCTTCAAGAATACAAAGAAGCTTAATGCTATGATATTTGACCATGTCCCTACACATATGAACCTTATTGGGGTTATTAAACCCCCTAATGTTCTAGCTGGTAAAAGAGGAGGGAGACATTATTGTCTAGCACCTTTTACCTTCTTAGTAGTTTTGGCTTTAAGCTTTTTAGACTTGTGTTGGGGCTGAGAAGTGGGAGATTCTTGGTTGGAGGTAGGAGGGTCTACTTCAGAGAGGAAGGATCCCAAAGAAGGGCTTGAGGGAGTAGAGGCCACCTCAGAAGAAGGTATGTTATCGGTGGGGGGAGGAATTGATTGAGATGTGGAAGGAAGCTCGGTAGTATCCAAGAAAGAAAACTTGTTAGTGAGGGGGACAGTTGAGGGAGGAACAAAAATATGGGGAGGGCTAATCTCCAAGGGGGTGGGATCAATGGATGGCAAATTGAGGTTTGGTATGTATGTGAGGGGATAGGGAACATAGGTGTCGAGAAGGACAATACTAGAGGAGGAAGGAGGCATACCTTCAGCCACATTAAGGGTAGTTACCGGTAGGGAACGTTCTACATCAGGCGAAGAAATAGTCGGCTTAGGAAGAGAGGGGTGGAGAGGTGGTTTGGAGTTCGAGGTCGTGGCACGGACATTGGGTTTTGTGGAAGAACTTCTACCCTGAGTCCTGGGGGGAGGGGGATAGATTTAGGATTGGGATTTGAGGGGAAGGAAGCAAACGAGTGAATCAACAATCCACAACCTTTGCATGGGGAAGGTTTCCTATCATAAACAACTTTAAGATCCATATCTTCTCCGTC